ACTCTTCGAGCATGACTTAATTAGGTCTTTTTATTCATTACTACTACTATTATTACCTAAACACCAAAAACAGACTAATTTTCTTAAGAAGGTTGTCACACCATCCATCGTTGGGACGAGTCACCCGGTTTACACAACAAATACCTTTGGAAAAACCCGTGGCATTAAGAAAACCAAAGGCTTTTTATCTACTAAAACATAAAAAGAAGCTACTAAATCCAACAAAGAACTAATAAAGAAACAAAAATAAAGAAGCTACTAAGCAAAAACTACTAAGATAGAATGAATGTACATAATGAGAGAAAGAGAGAGAATATATACATAATAAGAAAAGAGAGAATAATATCAAGCTATTACAGGTCAAATATCTCAAAATGCATCAAATATGATCATAAACTCAACCCCCCGAATAAAGATTAAAATTGTCCCCAATGCTTAACAAAATAAGATTAAAAGACGGGAGAGAGAGAAAAAAACTCCATATGGCTCCTTGGACATATCTGTGTCCCCAACAATGTCACTGCCCTCAGCCTCATCCAATTGAATCTCATCATCCTCAACTCTGGGTGTGGCTGGGTTAGTGAACATCTGATGCATTGCATCGGCAGTGTCGGTAGCAAGGTCTGGCTCCTCAGACTGGCTAGCTGGTGCCACCGGTGCTATTGGTGTTGTAGGATCTGGGCCTGAATGGTGTGGGTCAATCAGCATATCAAATGGAAGATCTTCGGTTGTAGCAAGCCTGGTCACCTATCTTCGGAGCTTGTTCACTGACTTCTTGCTAGCTTGGAGCTTTCTAATCTTCTTTACTTCTTTTCCCAGCTCTTCGATCACTAACCTGTGTTGTACCAAGGTCACCATAATAGTGTTTTGGTTCTCTAGGATCTTCTCCAATAGCTCCTCCACTGTCGGGGGAAACTGAGGTGCCTGAGTAGTAGACTGTGTTGCAACAGTACTGGATAAGTCAGACAGCTTTGCAGTTGCTGTCTGCATCCAGTTGTTGAGGCTCGCCAATGTCTGGGAGACTCGCAGCGCATAAAGTAGAGTAGTAGGCATGGGCACCGGCTTCAAAACCGAAGTGGAAGCTGTAGCAGGAACTGCAGAAGGGGTTGTGGATGATGGCTGAGGCATAGCTGTAGCACTAGAGGAAGCCTCGGCCGAAGTAGATGGAACAACAATCGTATCAACATCTACCATAGCTGGCTCATCAGACTGGCCCGCAGTGGTAGGAGGCTGAACTTCCTTCTTCGGGTTGTTCGCATCTATTAGTGAATACCAAGTAAAAGGCTTCTTCGGCCTCACATTTGTGTCATTATCCCTCGGCTCTACCCTTTCATCGGTGATGTATTCTATGATAGTGTTGGGATACGGATAGGACGAGTCATCTTGCCGAGCAATCACTGAGATATTGGCCGAAATCATTGCCCCCACATTGATAAGGTCCCGGCCATAATAGAAGCAACCAAACTGCCCGAGGAATCGGAAGGTAAGTCTTATTCTGGCTCCGGTCCAGTCTGCTGCAGACAAAGGTTTGCCAACCCTTCGCCTCGAAACTCAGCGTGCTCCTGTGGATAGGAACCCCAGCGGAAATCCATGGTGGTGGCGGCCCTGGTGCTGCTAGAATCTCCGTTAACCAAGGCCGGGCTGCATCTCCCATCTCAAGTTTCTCCAAATATTCCTTTGGCTCAACATCTTTAAAACTCAAGTATGTGTTGAGTGTATGCTGATCAAATCTCACTTTGAGGTTACGCACTTTGGTGACCTTTGTCCCCTTTTTGATATGTTCCACATTAGCGTAGAATTCACGGGCATGGTACTCTTTGGCATCCACGACACCCTGGGTGAACCACATCCATCCCTTGCGTTCCTTGAACTGTCTCAACACTGTTCGGTTGTACCTCTCCAAATATTTCAACTGAAACTGTCGCTCAAGAGTAAGTGACCTCACTGGCCACCATGTACGAAAGCTGGTGAAGGCAGCCAAGCTGACAAAACGGTCCTCCCAGACTTCTTTCTTCTTTGACCTTTCAAGACCGACAGCTGTAGCATCACCCTCTCTGCCATCATCGGGGATATCTTGAACTGGTGTATTTTGTGCCTTAGGAACAGGTGTAGTTGATGGCTCAGAAGTATGACTAGCACTCTCCGAGTCCTCATAAGTGCTATGAGATGAGGACGGCTCGTTCCTGAGCTGGTATCTCCCTATAAGTCTACTTGTTTGTTTTGCCATTTTGTTCAATAAGGCTACAATAGTCACAGGGTGAAACATTGGCATACGAAAAGCCGCAGAACTCTTCAGACGTCGTATAAGAACACTAATCTACTGGTTATAATAAATTTAAAAGTGAAGCAAAAATGAATGAATATTTAATGCAAGCCAATTATTTTTTCCAGATTCAAGTCTACAACTTCTACTGTATAAACTCAAAGATTCTGTTGTGCCAAATTGAATGGAGTATCGAGTGGAAAACGTCATATTTAGAAGGCTTGATTTTCCAGAGAAAATGCTGTTGCACCTGCTTAACCCTCCGATGCATCTGCCTATATTTATTATCCAGAATGGGAGAGTTGACTCGATAACCTCTAGCACAAACGCAGTATTTGCTGCTCAACTGTAAATAGCTTGCCTTTGTTATTTAATTCACCGGAAATCATCATGTCAGGATATTTGTTTTCCCAGTGCTTCAATAGTAGGGCAGGGATAACCATGCATATATCCAGCAAAGAAAGCAAGAGTACGCCGTTTGGAAGCTGGTTTTCCTCCAAGTTGTTGGAAAAATTTAGTTATGGAGAATAAGAATTAGCTTGAGGCGTGTCAAGGACACTGTCCTTAAAAATATTTCGCCTATACAGTGATAAATAAAATTAGGCGTATCTCTCAGGATTCAACAAGCTCTTCAAGTTATTAAACTAGGAACAGAACTAGCAGAAAATTCAATAAAGAAACCCAGCATATAAGAAGAAAAGATGATTCACAAAGTTGTATTAGAAAGTATATTAGAAACTGTGTCTTTAGCTCTCCAAAGATCATGTTTATAAAGGCGTTGCTCCAACGGCTAGTTAACAGCCAGTAGCGGCTAGTTAACGGCTAATAACGGCTAGTTTGACTCTATTAATTGTAAAATAACTTACTAAATAAGAGTAAGAAAATGTAAATAATATTTCAAAGAGAAAAGATTTTTCAAGTCAAGATGAACATTACCTTTTGAGATATCACTAATTTTTCAACAATCCCCCACATATCTCAAAAGAGATATAAAATAAATAGTAAATAAAGAAAGAAAGAGAGTATAATTTGTTGGGTTTCGGGTATAATAAAATTCATCTGGTGTCTTATAAACTATGAACCAGATATAGATAAAATAAGATTTAACTTACGAAATAATTGGTGAAGTTGATAACTTCTATGAACTAAAAATTCTTGTTGTAAGCTAGTGATCTTATTCATCATATTACACACCCACAATTTCTGTTGTTATGGCGGTTTTGCGCTAATAGACCATGCACGCGCCTGGTTTTCATGAGTGCTCTAGAAATTTTGCCACAAATTTTATAGGAGCAGTCCCACTCCACACTCATATAGGTCCATCCATCAAGTGTATTCTACAGCGCAATACACCATCTACAAAAGGCTATGGATTATTGGATTAAGAGTATAGTAACACAATCTCATATTCCTTGCAGTCTTGCACTATATACGCACACACCATAGGAAGAGACATAATTAATAGTGCATATTTGATCAACTAATGACTTGTTATTACCCATATGAACCTACTTCATGGGATCTTCAATCACATAGGTTGGGTTACCATCATTATTGATACATCTCAAATTGGCAAAAGTCTCAACCCCTCGATATTTCACATATAAGTCAAGGATCGGTCAATCCTCTTTTGACTACTCAAAATATGTATGAAAAACTTCTCATTTCTAAGGAATTACTTTATGACATTTATCTTTAAGAAAATGTATCTACTTTTCCCATTGAAAGATTTATTTTCTTACAATGGTTATTGCGCTTTGGCAATCACAATTTATCGACATAATTATTGTCGGTTTATCTCACCAAGAGGTTGCTTAATCAACCTCACTTTCAGGCAATTTTAATACCACAACACTCACCAAAAGGTTATCACACAATCACTATTGAGCTTTTCTCATCTGAAAATCCACATACAGAATATTAACTCATAGTATTTCTCGAATAAGGCATAAAATCATCTCAAATAAAATAAAACTTGACTTCTGCGCAAGTGCCATTTGAAACATCTTTCAACACATAAGAAATTATTTTCTTTTTGTATCTAAATTATTTTCTTTTTGTATCTTCCATAGTCAAGTACCAAAGTAAAATTTTTTAAATATAAAAGCAACTTTAACTTCTACAGAAATATCTCAAATCAATAGAAAACGGGTCATAATTCAACGATGTCTTCACCCAAATGACTAAGAAACCAGAAGCAAAATAACTCTTTAAAGCCAGAAAAACAACATAGTATATTTTTATCTTCCAATATAAATTTCCGCCACAAAAAATCTCAATTTATAAGGCCTCATTATAATTTTAATAAATAACTTCTTCTTCTTTTTTTACCTTTTTCCTTCTTAGGATCAAGCTATATAGTTGGACACCACGGTCCCCCACATTTTCGAAAATTTCAAGTTAAGGAGATAACATTTTCACAACTCATAAAGAATGCTACTTTATTAATAACAAGCTAATAATATAGTTTCACCCGAAGATTTTTCTTCTATACTAGAAATTGGACCTATGGCAACGAACGGTTATATAGCTTACAATCGCTGCCTAAGGATCTTGGTGCTATTGGGACACTTTTGCAAGTAAACCGTTGCGCTAGTATAAGAACCGTTGCAGTAGGAAGTACTTATCGCAACGGTGATTGTATCCGTTGCGTCAGATACCTCTGTGGCAACGATTTATGGGGATAAAATATCTATTGCAACGGCCATTGTTTCCCTCTTTATTTTCCTACTTTCCATAAACCAGCGCTTTTATTTTCTATTTTACCTTATTAATTTTATTTCTTATACATACACCTCGAGACAACCTCCCAAAAGGCTTTAACACACTTAAGATCTAAAGACCACATGTATCTCAAATTTGAAGAACGCATCTAACAATCTAAAGGCTTAATCAACGAGTTCTCTTAGATCTGTGGAGGTCGATGGCCATCGACAAAAGGGGTAGGTTAAGATAAAAAAAAATTGATTTAGGATTTCAAATTCATAGTCCATATATGATTATATCCAGGCAAGTAATTTTTGTTTTCAAAAGTTATCTTTTCATTTTATATTTTCTCCAAAGATTAAAGAAGAAAGTACCGAGTTCAGTGTGAGAGTGGGAGAGAAAAAAGAGGATGTTAGGAAATTAGAGTTTTGATAAAGTGTATGTTAGAGCAGGATTTTTGATGTCCGCTTAGGGTTTTCATAGTTGGTGTATGTGGTGAGTATTTTTTGATATTTTCCCTTGTTGGCTAGAAAATATTTCTTCCCAAAGCCATCTTCGCGGCGGTAGCGCTTTCCTCGCTGGAAATTGGTAGCTGCGGGAGAACAAAAGAAAGTTGTAAGTATAACTTTTTGTTATAGCACTCTTTGCTTTTCGGAAGATAAGCAAATTTCATTTCAAAAACTTTGTACGGTAGTGTATTTGAATGAAGTCATATTATTGACATGGGGATTTTGGGGGTTTTTTCTTTTATCATTCCTTTCTTGTTCGACTTATTAATTTATTGTCGAGCCGAACATTTTGCTTTTGATTGAAGCATTTAATCAAAATTGGGGATCTGTTAAAGGTTTTTCATATTATAATTCCTCTCTGTATAAAAATGATGCCTTGATTGTGTGATTTCTGTGTTGGCCAAGAAAAATATCTGGAAGTTGGCGCTCTTCCATGTTTTGATGGTATGTTGAACATTTAGACCCATCTTCGGGGTATGCACTTCTTATTTTTCTTTTACAGACATGGAGTTCTTTCGATCTTCTAACTTTGGTACATATATGTTTAGGAAGAAAAAAATGCTCATTAAAGAAAAGTAGATCATAAGGTTTTGACATAGAAACATTGATACAACAGAGACGACTCTTGAATTAGAAGTACTACATTATAAGATTAATTTAAACTACTCTATATAAAAGTTGCATTTTTCTTTTGCAGTTATTGTCTTTGTTGTGTGTTGGTACCAATTTGGTTATGAAAAGTTTCACCTAATTCAGGTTGGGACATCGATAACTTACTGATGGGTGTAGCAGAAGGCATTAATAACTTGCATGGTGATCCATATCACTAGACCATCTAATCTATATTACTATAAAGGATATACTTATGGCTTACATTTGTAAAATTAAATTTCATTAAGATGCATCACTTGTAGTAATTCGTCTACCATCCCTATAGATGAGTATTGGATGACAAGTTTCTCTACTTGTCAGGTTTTTGTTGTGGACTGAAAAGATATCAATTTCTTAACTTCTGGAACTTCGAGATTCCTTCGCCATTTAATAAATCCTAGCTCTAAGAAGATCCAGTGATAAAAAGGATAGCTCCGTGCACTAAGCTTCCGCTATGCGCGGGGTCCGAAGAAGGGCCGAACCACAAGAAGATCTAGTGATGAAATTTAAAATTTTCAAGGTAAAATGAACTTGAAGGTTTTCCTTTTTCTATTGATGTTAAGTACATAGTTTGATATATATCTTTTCCCAGTTATTAGAGTAGGTGGAACTTATAATAGATCAATTCATAGACTTGTGCATTATATATGGAAGTGATAACTGTGGTAGCATCCGAGGTACCGCGTTTCTCAATTAGCTCTGTGCTTCAAAATCTAGCCTTCTATTTATAATTATGTGTAGAATTGAATCTTATGCTACATTCTGGTCTGTTAATCCATTTGTTACCAACTAAACCTTCCTTTCGTAAATCTTGTCTTTGTTTGCTCCTCGACTCTATTTTTTCCAATTAATTTATTTTATAATTTTAGTGTTGCCTTTTGACTTTTTAGTTATTTCTACTTGCCTTAGACTTAGTAGTCTTGAATTGCTGGATATAGAGAAATCTTGGAGGCAATGTTCTCTGCTTTTATCGGGTAAGAAAGTACCAATTATTGCTTAGGAATTGTATAATGGTAAACTGCTCTGTTTTAAAAGGCGTTTCCGGGGCGAGGCGTATCAAAAACGCCCCGGGGAGATGGTGTGGGGCGAAAATCCCAAGAGGCGTACACCCCATAATTTGGGGCGTACACCCCATAATTTGGGGCGTACGCCCGGGTGTTCGGGGCGCATTTTTTTAGTAAGTAGTAAGCCATAGAGACTTTTTCAAATTAAAATAAATTTTGTTGAATTAGTCATTCATATAATACCCAAATTCTCAAAAGTCAGTTTGGTAATTACTCAAAAGGTTTAAAAAGGAACTCAAAAGTATTAAATTTAAAAGTAAAGACATTTTTTATTGCTTTAAGCCCTAATTCATGGTTTTTCTAATTTTTTATCTTGTCCGCTAGTCTACTAATATCTCCCAAAAGCAACGAATATTTAAATTTTTTTACAAATACAAAGAGTACTACATTTTTCTTCATAGCAGCAAATTCAAAGTTCAAATTGCAGGTTAATCATCCTTTTTGTTCCTCCGTATAGAAAACTTTATTCTTTTAGACTCAAATTACTTGTGCTTGTAAGTAACGTATAATAGATTATTTTGATTAGTTTTTTGTGGGGATGGAGCACACATATATATAGTTTTCTTCAATTTTTATGCAATTTTACCTGTTTATAAATATTAACTGTCATTATATTATTTTATAAACTATTAAAAATTAAATACCTATGGGGCTTACGCCCCAGTGAGGCGTATGTAAAACGCCCCGCCTTACGCTCACGCCTTTTAAAACACTGGTAAACTGAACATCAATTCAATGTGCGAGGTAATCATTTTTTATAGCTCTCTTTAAACTTTTCCATCTTTGCATGAAGACATTGTTTATCTCAAGGTCTATTAAAGATGTATGAAGAATGAATAAATAGCTTTATTAGAGTAATAGTAAATTTACATGCAATTCATATATTTTCTGGTAGACCACAACTTTATGATTGTATACTTCTCTGTCATTCTTAACTGTTGAGTGAAATCCATTTCGGGTCTATTGCTACGTTGGAAAGGACATGAGATGAGAAAGACAAGGGAATTCACTAATTTACTACGTCCTGAATAGTAAAGGTTGGGTAAAAGCTAATGGCTGGCACTCATTTAAAATTAAAATATCCAGCTGCTTTTGAGGTGAATTCTGCTGAACTGCTTAATTAGAATTAACGATTTTGTTTTAGCTTGAAGTTTCCATTTCATTGAAAATGAATTTTTGGAAAGTGATGTACTTCTTTGGTGTTACACAGGGTGCTAAAAAATTGTACACAAACCACCTGCGCCCTTTCCTCATGAGACGTCAGGCAAGACGATCATATTTTGGAGTTATTTTATGGAAAACTGGTAAAAGTTATCTTTTATCGTATGTTATAAATTTGACTTTAAAATTTGTTGATGCAACTTGCCAATTAATTTAAGGTTATATAAAGTGTCATTTAATTTAATTTACTAGGATGTAGCATTCTGTCACTTGATGTTTTTGCCCTTTTCCAAAGATTTTCATAAATTCCAGAGTAAGGTTGGAAGAGACTGTGCTCCAGCATGTAAGTTAAAAGGACTTCTTAAGGTTTTTGATCAGTAGTTTGTCTCTTAACATGTATTGTGTAATTGCAGCTTCTTAAGGAATCTCTAATTGTCAATTCAAATTGTCTTATGGAAATATAGTTTGCAGGCCAAGTTTATTAGCACCCACCAAAGAGAAATCCGGTTTGCACAGATGCTTCTTGTCAAAATTTTATTATTAGGTGGTTCTTTTTTGTAGTAACAGTTTCCCTTCATCTTATGTTTGTTTCATAAGCTATTTCAGGGTGAATATCAGTATCTATCCATCGTATAATAATTATAGAAACATACTATAATTATATTATATAAGGCATAAAGTTTTTGACATCTACATGAAGATGTCAACAAGACTTATTATGAAAAGTAGACAAGGTCAGACGGTCTAGATATCTTATTGTAACGACCCGACTTGTCGTTTTATGAATTAACGCCCCGTTCAGTGGCTTAAGGTCTCGAACAGTTTCGCAATATGTATTATGACCCGCGAATGTGGTCGAGTTTGATTTACTGAACATTCGGAATTTAATTAAAAGAACAATTTTTATTTAGAAGCTTAAATGGAAAGAGTTGACCGGAGAGTTGACTTTTGAGCAAACGACCCCGGAATAGAATTTTGAGGATGGCAATAGTTTCGTATGATGATTTCGGACTTAGGCGTATGTTCAAATTTGGATTTGGAAGTCCGTAGGACAATTCGACACATTTTGGCGAAAATTGAAAAATATAAGATTTTGAAAAAGTCCGACCGAATGGTGAATTTTTTATAACGAGGTCGGATTTCGATTCCGGAAATGGGAATAGCTCCATTAAGTTAATTATGACTTGTGTGTAAAATTTGAAGTCATTCCGGATTGATTTGATACGTTTCGGCGCAAAATATAGAAGTTGAAAGATTTGAAAACTTATAATTCGATTCGATCCGCGATTCGTAATTTCGGCGTTATTTGACGTGGTTTGAAGCCTCGACTAAGTTTGTATTGTACTTTGGGACGTGTTGGTATATTTGGTTTAGGTTCCGAGGGCTTCGGGTGGATTTCGGAAGGTTAACGGATCAATTCGGACTTGAAGAAAAGCTGCTGGAATTTCTGGGTAGCTGCTATTTTTTTCGCAGGAGTGTGAACAGTACCGCAGGTACGAAACTGGGCAGTAACATAAGGACCAAAAATCAGTCACTTTGTCATTTTCGATTGAGATTTTGGAACTCGATTTTTGGGCGATTTTGGAGGAGTTCTTCACGACTTTGACTTGGGTAAGTGTTCTATATCCTAAAGTGTTTATATTTCATGAATCCATGATTATTCATCATTTAATTCGAATTTAAATGGAGAAAATCAAGATTTTTGCAAAATCTTCTAAAAATAAAAATTTAAGATTTGAAGGTCAGAGTTGTTATTGGAATTCGATAAAATTAGTATGGTTGAACTCGTATCGGAATGGGTGTTCGGATTTCGTAAAATTATGTCGGGTTCTGAGAGGCGGGTCCCGCATCGACTTTTGTTGACTTTTTGGAATAAAATTTTAAGTCGACGTATTATTATCCGGAATTATTTTCGATGAATTTTAATGAAGTTATGCAATGAATTTGGATAGATTTGAGCGGTCTGGAGGTCAATTCAAGCAAGAAGGCAATTTTGGAATATCGGCATAACTTCAAAAAGGTAAGTGTCTTGCTTAACCTCGAGTGGGGGAATTACCCCTTAGGCATCGAGTCTTATGTGCCATTTATGAAATGTAAAAAGCCGTGTACGCTAGGTGACGAGTACGTACTCGGATTCTATGTATAAATTTTATTGAGTTAAAGTCTTGAGCATATTGTGTGGTAAATTGGATAATTGTTGGTATATATTTAATCATCTATTTATCGTGCCTAAATCCTTGTTGTTGTTGAATCTGTTATTATATGACAATTTGATGTGATTGTTACTTGATTATTTATGTAATTCCGTGAATTTGGTGGTTTGATAATTATTGGAATTTAATTTCATTATGGATTTTTCCTCTGCAAATAATTAATTAAATGAGCTTAAGAAGAGGTGTTTATATAATTATTAAAAATTTAAATTTAATGAAGACTTTGTTTTATGTTAAGTAATTTCTATCCCTATTGATTGTTTTTGGGTGTCGTACACATTGTGTGGAGCTTTTGGCTATTTGTTGTGAAATTAATTGACTTGGTTGTAGCTTTGAAATTTTGTTGTGGCCATTGGGCAAATTGTGATATGAATTAATTTTGTTATGCTGCCGTGATAATTTCCCGTGTAAATTATTGTGTTGTGTTAATTATTATTTTGAGGATATAAGGGTGGCATTTCACCGTTGATATTATGTGGGTATAAGGGTGGCATTTCACTGTGGTTTTGTTTGTTGGAATATGGTCTGGGCGGAGCGATAAGGGTGGCTATTGATATTATCTGGGCGGAGCGATAATGGTGGCTATAGGAGCGATAAGGGTGACTATTGTGAGGAACGATATGTGACGATGTGGAGTTGTGGTGTTGGTGATTTTCATATGATGTTGTGATTTTCTTGTGTTTATTTTTATACTTTGTGCAATTTGTCTTATTGTTTGTAAATTGATAATAATCTGATTTATGTTGAAATTGGGAGCCTGTGGCTATTGCCACGCGGATTATAAAATAAAATGTGGGCACGAGGTGCCGTGAGTAAATAATAAGGATATTGGCACGTGAATTATTCGTGCAGTTGTGATATAAAAAGTGGGCACGAGGTGCTGTGATTAAATGATAATGATATTTGGCACGTGAATTGTCCGTGCAGTTGTGATATGAAATGAGGGAATGAGGTACCGGGGAAATAATATGATTTGATTATGAGACCGTGAAAATATGAAAAATGGGTTGAGACCCGTGTTTACGAAAAATATGAAAATGGGCTGAGACCCGTATTTTTATGATTATGAAATGAGGTGTCACATGGTGATCTTTTTAATTGAAAGAATTATATTCAAAATATTTATTTGGAAGAATTTTTTATTCAAAAAGAATTATATGAAAAAATTGTAATTGAAATATATTTATTTGAGGAAATTATATTAGAAGAGATTTATTGAAAGAATTTTATATTCGAAAGATGTTTATTTGAGGAAATTATATTTGAAAAAGAGTTTTATTTGTAAGAATTATGTGTGAAAGATATTTAATTGAAGAACTTGATTTAACTGAGTATAATTGTATTTATCAATTGTTGAGCGATATTAATGGTGATTTTATTGTCTTACTGTGCACATCACTGGTTGTTTTATGTTGCTCTTATTATTATTTGTTTCCTATTATTTTGTATACTATATTGCACATGTTATTAGACTAGTGAGTGTCTTGACTGTACCTCGTCTCTACTCCACTGAGGTTAGTCTTGATATTTACTGGGTACCGACCGTGGTGTACTCATACTACACTTCTACACATTTTTGTGCAGAGTCAGGTATTGGAGGTATCGGACTCAGACAGAGTTAGAGTGGGATCGCAAGGATTCAAGGTAGATCTGCTTGGTCGTCGTAGTCCCTTGAAGTATTTTTATTTCATTGTACTGTTAATTTTTAATCAAACGGTACTGTATATTCGGTCCTCGTGATCATTCTATGTATTCAGTTAGAGTTCGTGACTCAGTACTACCAGTCTTCGGAGACTGTTATATTTGTAATTATTTTCGCTGTTGGTTTATTAAAAAAAAGACTTGAAATGTAATTGTAATCGGCTTACCTAGTCTTAGAGACTAGGTGCCATCGCGAAGCCTGTGGTGGGAATTTGGGTCGTGACAGTTGGTATCAGAGCTCTAGGTTCATAGGTTCTAAGAGTCACGAACGAGTCTTGCGGATCGGTACGGAGACGTATGTACTTATCTTCGAGAGGCTACAGAACTGTTAGGAAATTTCCACTTCTTTCATTCATGTCGTGAGGATTTGTTGATTGTGGGATTTGAGCTTTTGTATCTCTATTCTCTCACAGATTGTGAGAACACGTACTACCAGGTTAGCTGAGCAGGCATCCGCACATACTGTAGAGGCCGATGCAGAGGTCGAGGAAGGGCACCTGCCGCGACTAGAGCACCTGTCAGAACAATAGTTGAGGAGCCGTCAGTAGCTCCAGTTGGGGGACAGGTACCAGAAGCACATGTTGTTACTCCCGGACTTTAAGAGACTTTGGCACAGTTCCTGAGTATGTTTGGTACATTAACTCCAGTTGGGGGACAGGTACCAGAAGCACCTGTTATTACTCCCGGACTTCAGGAGACTTTGGCACAGTTTCTGAGTATGTTTGGTATATTAACTCAGGCGGGATTGATCTCTGTTGCACTAAATATTTCGCAGATTGGGGGAGTAGCTTAGACTCCTACCACAACTCTAGAGCAGTAGGTTCACGTTGATCAGGTTCCGGGTGTAGTACCGGTATAACCTATTATTCCGGTTCGGCCTGAGGTCAGGCCAGAGGCATCAGAAGAAGAACAAAAGAGACTTGAAAGGTTTAAGAGGTATAGTCCACCTACTTTTAGTGGCACAGCTACAGAGGATGCCCAAGAATTTCTAGAAAATTATCACCGTATTCTCCGCACCATGGGTATTGTGAAAGTGAGCGGAGTTGCCTTTACTATATTTCAACTGTCAGGCGCAGCGTATCGGTGGTGGCAAATCTATGAAAAAGGTAGACCAGCCGATGCAACACCACCAACTTGGGCTCAATTTTCGAAAATATTCTTGAAAGAGTTTGTTTCCCAGACTCTCCGAGATGTGTGGCGCACAGAGTTTGAACGGTTGCGTCAGGGCACTATGACAGTGTCAGAATATGCTATCAGGTTCAGTAAGTTAGCCCGTCGTGCACCTATCTTGGTTCCTACAATCAGAGAGCGGGTCCGCAGATTCATTGAGGGGCTCGATTATGATATTAAAATATGCATGGCTCGAGAATTGCAAATTGACACTCCATTTCAACAAGTAGTGAAGATTGCGAGAAAGATTGAGAGTGTTTTAGGCGAGGAAAGGGAGTCTAAGGAGGCCAAAAGGTCTCGAAGATCTGGAGGGTTCAGTGGATTTTACTCTTCAGCTAGAACCCATTATAGCGGAGGCTCGAGCAGTTGGCCAGCTCAGTCCGCACATTAGATTACTCGGAGTGCTTCAGTAAGTTCTTACGATGCACCACCGGCATGGGATTCCTATAATGGTTATTCCAATTATCCGGCACAGACTCAGTACGAGCAACTGCGACCTCAGAGGGATTGTTATGAGTGTGGTGATACTAGGCACATCATGAGAGGTTGTCCCAGACTTGGGAGGGGTGGATTTCATCAGAACACTCCAGCTACAAGTTTTATTCCAAT